GGCAACACTGTCGTGTTCATGTAATTATTGGCAGTCTAGGGCGAGAGCAGACATGTCACCTGCGCAAACGGTGAAGCGGCAAGCCGGTAGTACTCGTGATAACGAGTGCTCTACACTACGTAATCAGCAAGTAATGAATATACCGCAGAAATGGATTATTACTCTACCGTTAACTATGTTATAGATAAAATTAAAGAATAGGTAATGATGTCGATTCTGGCATTATTCTCTAAAGCTAAACTTAAATTTGACAACAGTGCATCCTTGTCCTTCTCTATACAGAATAAAAAGGTGAGACTGGTGTTAAATTTAGTTTTAAGTTTAGAGAATCACGCCAGAATCGACAATAATGCGAGTTTTTGCAATAAGGACGTCTTTAATATGGCATGATGTTTATAGGCACCCAAAGTTATGGATGTAGGTAGCATTAGCATGATAAATTTTAAATAAAACTAGTTTTTACGGGTAATAATTTCAGTACATCTAGTACTGAATTTATTTATTTATTGACGTTTCGCAGCCTTTTCAGGTCTGCGTCGTCTGAATAATTGTCTTGTTGTTGTGAAGGTTAAGAAACAAATATGATAAATATTTTTTCCGAGAGATTAGTAGGAAGTAAAAACCAATACACGCTTCAACCATTGAGATATACACATTTAAATAGGTACGTTTATATTTTCATAACGACATTATTTTTCTTTAGGAATTTTAATAAGCGCAACTGATTAGCTACGATTGTACGAGAAAATAATAGCTTTTTTATTCTGCGAAGGAAGAATTTGATTAATCACAAAGAAGTCATGCAGATGAGTAGCTTCTTTGTGAGCAACAAAATTATGCCAATGTCATTAAGGTATCCATTAATTTTTTACCTCTGGTTATTTGCAAAGTACTATACAACAAATGATTCCTGACCTACTTGTCCGATATTTTGCTTAAAAATGTCAAATCACAAAAGTTTTTTCTATAAATGAATACTTAAGACCTTCCAACAACAAGGGAACTGTATTAATATGGATGAAAGATCTTTGAAATTTAACCTTTGTACTCAATGCAGTAATTTTAAAATAATTTCAAAATCTTAAAAATCACAGAAACTGTTTCGATATCTTAACATAAAAAAAAACCTAAATAGACTAATATGGAAATCCTAAATCTATCGTCAAAACACCAATCAATTAGGTAACGTCCACCTTATTGTTTTCTAATTATTGTAAGAAAATAAGCTTATCGTCAGGATCAAATTGGCTGATAGTACATTTGATGTATTCAGTTTAGCAACTACGTAACTTTTGTAAGTGAAACAACAGGACACGAGATTTGGTGCGCCACAGTATGTTCGTGCAATTTAGTTAATGAAGACAAACAAATTACTTTAATTCATTAAAAACTAATCGAAAAGTGATTTCCGTTGTTAATGTTAATTCGTGCAAGAACTGTTCCTTAATGAATTACTTTTGAATGTATTCAGGGTGATTCAAGTTGACATTAGCATTTTAATGCTTACAAAAGAAAATCAAATATTCTATTTTACTTTCAGATTTCATTAATAAGAAGTTTAGTTAAACATCCTAACTAAGATACGTTTATTAAATAATTGAGAAAGAAAGAAATAATTTATTGACCAATAACATTGACAAATAAAAAAGCATAATTAAAAACACAGTATAAGGTCAACTAGGTCCCTGCCTCAGCACAATGCTACAAAGACACCAAGGCCGCTGCGGCGCTTATATTCTGGCAGGGCCTAAGGTTGATGTTAATAAACAGTAATAAATGATATAAATCACGGTTAACAATACCACAAACAAAGAAACAATGTAAGTAAAAAAAAAACAAATAAAAGGCTGAGTTAAAAACCAATGAAACCGATTTCTAAATCTAAAGATTCATTTACTAGAAATTATTCCACGAGGTAGGTAGCATACGGTTATTTTGTTATTGGTCAGTGCATGATAAGGACAGCGGAAAATGCGGGTTGTCTCGACTCCCATCCGCCTTCGAAGGCCAATTACAACAAAAATAGGCTGATACTGAGTACTATTTTTTTAATGTTTTTTGGTAGTATAGAAGCATGCGGAGTTTTTAAACTTAACCAGAAGCTGTGGAAACTCTTTTTTGTATTTTTAAATTGAAGTTATATGTTTGAGTAAATCCTACTAAAGACTAAAGTTCCAACTTTCAAGCCTTTTTGAGTAACTTTATGTAATTTCAGGAAGCCGAGTTATTTTTTTTATTAAAACAACATTCAAGACAATTGTGTCACAAAAAAAGACTGCAAAATACCTACTACGAAAAAAGATAAGAATTTTTGAAACCTCGCTGGCAGAAATCATTAAAAATACACAAATAAATTTATAACTCGAAAACTAAGAAAAATCGCGGAACATACATGGGATATTTTCGGACACCACCCAGGTTCGCGTAGTGTATATATTCTGTGACCCAGGTGCGAGGAATCTAATAAGAATTTGTTGACGTCACTAGTTGGACCACCCTGAAAGTTTGTATGTTTATTAGTAAGTTTGTATGACTGTTACTCAATAAAGCTAAAGTACTGACCTGGATTAAGTCATATGATACTTTTAATCCCGAAATAAAGTTAGGTTCCTGTGGGATTCTGAAACGACTACAGTTACCTCGGACGAAGTCGCGGACGGCCGCTAGTGTGAAATATAACAGATAAAATTTAGCACACACGGCCAGACAGTATAATGAATACAACAACACGATTTAAAAATACACGCAATGATTATAGATGTTAACTCTGACCGAATAAGTTTCAAAGTTTAATGTTTCGACAACCGGCAAATACTTTAATAGTTACATTTATCAAAAACCTGTCAGTTTTAAAGCATAGCGACTTAACGCTTTGTCTAAATAAAAAATCTTTAAATATCAAGCAAGCAAGGAAACCCAAAAATAAAAGATAAGACAATTGGCCTATGTTCAGTAATTTTGGTGAGTTTTTAATAACCATTAATTCCTAGACGAGAAGCTGGATTTGTGTTTCAATAATCACCAAAATAATATACCACCCGAATTACCAATGCTATTAGAATTATCTTTGCTTCAAACAAAACAACGACCAAAGGATAAAATACCAAACAACAATAATAATAATCAGATTGTGTGCGATTCTCTGCGATTGGCATTTTTTTCGTATCCCAACGGATCAAAGTTACTGGGGTTTACATGTAAACATGTCGTAATAGTTTGTTTATTAGGGAGAAAACTGGAGTTTTATTTAATGCGACACCGACATGCAATATCATCAATCAACCTTTGTTCCTAATATTATTAAACTTTTCTATCTCTATTACTTGCTAAGCTATAGCACCATTAAGGGTCTATTATCCCTCACGTCCTGCGATCATTATCGTACAAGGACCTCGTAATTATATTACGTGTTGCCCTTCTCATAGTGACAAATAAATTATTACTACCGGGCCAGCGATATCATGCTTTATATTAGGTAGTATCCTGCAGGTGACAATGATCCTTATTCTTAGATTAACTTCTAATTTTTTGTCATTGCTAATCGATTTATATACAAATATAGACATGCTACATTGAAAATAGTTTTAAGTTACAAAAACATTTTTTTTTATCTATTATATAAAAATAGTGACTACACAACTATAGTTACTAGTAGTCAAACTTGGTTTTGATAAAATAGTTTTGTTGTTATAGCAAAACAGTTGTATAAAATTAACAAAACTGTTTTGTTAATTCTTACACTTGTTCATTACTTGGTTACAAAATGTTTGCTTCCGTTTTGATTCACTATACCGTTATTTGTAATTGAACTATTTGTTATATGCAACATACTTTTCTGATGAATTATACCTGTATATTATAATGTTACTTGCAAAAGTACTTGTTTGCTTTAAAACCCTGTACGTAATTACTTACTAACAAGTAAGTACTGGGGGTTAACAGGGGATTGGTGTAATTATAATACCCTGGTTCACAATGTATTTTCAAATACAAATTTCATAAAATTACCTTATATACAGGGCGTCCCACGGCTACCTCACACGGAGGGAAAGTATATTAAATATTAAAGATAGGATATTTTACTGAAAGAAGACATCAGTTAATTTTTAATAATAACTAGAACTGCATTCACAGATTTTTTTAAAATCGACAGTTACAACTGGGAAAAAACACGGCATATTTTAAGATAACCATCGAAAGGGTTTATCATAAAGATTATTTTTTACTAAATACCATAGCATTTTAAATGAAAGGAATGTCTTATTATGTAATAAAAATAATAAAGTGATATACAAACATTAGTACGTATGCATTTCTTTTTGAACTCAGTTACAGTGCGAGTGGCTGAAATTTGTAAAAATAATAATTCGAAAATGGAACACATACATTTTCAAGCGTCTGTATCCCTAGCACGAACCATTATCGTATTCGAATAGTTTGCGAGTGTGAAATATCGATGTCAAATTTTGTATGGAAACTTATACAGCAGCGCCACAAAGTACGTAACGAGAACTAAAAATCAGTACATATTTTACAATGACATTTCGCACTCGAAAACTTTTTTACGTTAACTTAAGTGCTCTTTATGAGAAACTTTGCATTAAATTAATCAAAAATAAATATTTGAACCTAGCCATTATATAATGATTTATTACTTTCATAATTCACATAACAAAAACAATTTTAAATAGGTACATTAAATTCAACTTACGCTCCTATAGACACATATTATTATAGTTTTTTTTTTAAATCTAACAACGTGTTCCCTTTCTCAGAGAGCTAAAAATACAATAAAATGAAAAAAAAATGGATCTTACTATAAATAAAAAAAAATATACTATATATGCTATCTTCTTGTTTTTCAATAAAAGGCTTTAACTGAATAGAGCTGTATTAAGTGTCCTTGAAAAAAAAGAAATTTATTCTACAACGGGCCGTAGTCACCATCTAAAACTTATTTTTCGCGTTAAAGGATTACAGAGTCATTACATTTCACATACCTATGATGAAGAGGAACCCATGCAGAAGTGATATCCATAAAGCTGATTTGGCTCCGCTCAGTGCGCAGCCCATTTTGATCAACTCACGCTCGCATCCGCGAATCTGAAAAAAAAATGAAACCCAGCTGAAAATCATTTTGTTGCCGCGTGATGTTAAGAGATTAAAACTGTACACGTACCTACATTTCTAAAATTCAAACTACCAATTTACAATGTTAAAATGAATTAACACCATTGTAGAATATAATTTGACACAAATTGCATTTGCATTGTAAATTGTAATAGTGTTTCGAGTAAATTATTTTAACGAAACAAAGTTTTCGAGCCCCAAATTCAATTGTGACTAGGGTTACTATTTAAAAATTTGAATAGTCCTGACAAAAAGCCGGACATTTTGATAAAAGTCCGGACATTTTAGTCACTAAATACAAACATCACCCGCTTAGTTCCAGTGGTAGCAGACACTCGCATCGCGAGGGGGGGGGGGGGGGGTTCGTTGTTGATTATTTAAGATAAATATTTTGTTTTAAATTAATGAGTACTTAATAAAGATCATTTGACTTATTTGATATAACTTCATAAGTAATTTTACTCATATTCCATCTAATTAAATAAATCAAAAAGCCGGACAAAGTCCGGACAAAAGGCAAAAAGTCCGCACGGATGGTACCCTAATTGTGACAAACCTAATCATCTACAACGAATATTACTCAACAAAATGGTAGCAAACGCGGTGTCATGGAAATTAGAAATATGACATTTTTAATTGAAGAAACGGTACGTAAATATGAGATTTGTAAGTAAAGAAACATTACGTAGGGTTTAAATACGCAGTATCTCACTAATATAAATGTGAAAGTTTGTATGGTTTTTTGTTATTCAATCACGCAAAAAACTCTGAATGGATTTGGATGAAATCTGGTACGCATATTTATAAGGTGGATTGAGACATACGGTAGTATTTATCCCAGAAAAATGGTAGGTTCCTGTGGGATTCTTATCTAAACTTAATGCGAACTAAGCCGCGGGAGGCTGCTAGTACTACATATATTTTAACTACTTATCTCTGCAAGTGAAAAGTTCTCCAAAAGATTATTTTAATACTCGTTTTCTGTATCGTAAGTTATAATAGTATCTAGACTTTTTACTATCGTTTCCAACTTCCGTGGTCACAAAGGCGTATTTTATATTGCATTTTCATTCAACTTCGTTACAATGGAGCACCGGAAACCTTGCTCACTTTTATGTAAGTAATATTTTAAAACAATGGGACGACGTTATTTGGCTGCAGCCTTCTGTGAGTTAGAGGTACTTTACTGGCAAGCGCTCCGGTTCAATTTCGAGCGGAAAACTGTACAGAGCTACCTCTCTTTAAGTTCAGTGACGTATAGTTTTAAGACATAATAATGCATTTAAGCTTTGTTGTGAATCACCAAAATTAAATAGATTACAAAAAAAGAGAACAGGGAAAGATTATGCAATATATATTTACAAGAACAATAAAATATTAAGATTATTTAACAGAAAAACAATAGGAGTATAATGTGAGTAGAGCTCCACCGTGCTTCGGAAGGCACGTTAAGCCGTTGGTCCCGGCTGAATCTGCAGTCGTTAGCATCCACCAATCCGCACTGGGTCCGCGTGGTGGGTCATGGCCCAATCTCCCTATTCCATCCATATGGAAGGCCTGTGCCCCAGCAGTGGAGACATTAATAGGCTGATGATGATGATAGTGTGGGTGTGTGAAGTGTGGAGGTGTGAAGTATAGTGGGCGTAGTGGGATTGGGTCCTCGGCTATCGTCAGTGGAGGCTTGAGGGTCGGGAGACCGTGCCGTTGGCAGACGGGTGGCGTTTCTGGAAGACGGCAGCTCTCCTGATCAGACGTCTCTCTTGATACTTGACTGACACTACTGGTTGGCAGGCGCTGCTGGTAGGTCGGCCGGTGCCGAGGTAAGACGGCTGGAGATGTTGGTGGAATGGCAGACGCAGCTGGTAGGCGGGCCTAAGCCGCTGGAGGCCGGACGTTGCCGCTGGAGTGCGGGCGGCAATAGGTCAAGGTATCCGGGGTCAAGTCCTGTTATTAATTTAGAGAGGCTCGGTAGTAAGCCAACAAAAGTTACGTTGGGGGATTTTTCGCAGAAATGCTTGTAGGATCAGAGCGGCTCGGCCTTTTATAGGTCCGAAACTATTTAAATTAAGAGAAGGCTCGAATTGACCTAAAAATAATTAAAATAGGTATTCTGTGGAGGTTGGTTAGAGTCGGAGAGAGTATCCTTGTCATGGGTAGCCATGGCAACAATAAATAAACAAAGTTATACCTGGTTATACCTAAAAATAAATAAAAACGGAGTAGAACATGGCAATTCGAAATTACAACGATATTAAACAAATATAAGAATATAGAGAAATTCCGGTAAGTGTCTAGCAATTTCGGAATAGTGATTTTGGCAGTTGGGATTCTGATACGTATTTACAAAATGATGAATGATGAATATGGTTGAATTTGTGCGTTTCTAGAAATGATAATAAAATATATGTATAAATAATGGAAGTATGCTGAAATTGATGACTATGACAAACTGTGTAAAATGGAGCCTTTAGTTGCCAAAAGAGAGGATGTCCCTGGGGTACGTTACAGCTTAACAGATTCAACGGTCTTATGCTGTTAAGGATAAAAATAAGAATTTCGTTCGAATTTACTTTTGCATAGTTGTACAACAAGAACCAACTCCTGCAGTTCTCATTATAAAATCAAGTGATACCTTAGAGTAGGAGAGCCCAAGCGGGGATTTTTGGATTTACTCGAGCGCGGCAGAATAACATATGGGGAGCACGTAGCACCTTGCACGTAGTTAAGTACTCCCACTATACTTGAGCCATCTATGTAGGGCCGAACGTCTAGGGCAGCAAAAACAAAATTTCAAGAAACGGCCATGACTTTTGGTCGGGTCCAAATCGTCAGTCTTTTGAATAGGAGCTACTGGAGGATTCACGTAACATCCCTTCTCAATGTCTGACGCGCTCGGTTATTTCTTGCTATATTCTACCCCTTCGTCCGGCCACCCCCATATCATGCAAACCGCGGCAGATCAATATTTTTTCCGTTCTCAGAAACGTTACATGAACCCTTTAGTAACTTATATTCAAAAGACTGACGATTTGGGCGCGACCAAAAGTCATGACCGGTCGTTGAAATTTTGTTTTTGCTGCCCTAGGCGTTCGGCCCTACATAGAGGGCTCAGGTATGGTGGGAGTACTTAACTAGGTGCAAGGTTGCTCCCCATATGTTATTCTGCCGCGCTCGAGTAAATCCAAAAATCCCCGCTTGGGCTCCCCTACTATTAAGAAGTATTAGCTGTGCCCCGCAGTGTTAGCCGCGGTTTATAAGGGATATTATGTTGTTGTGTTTAGACGTGAAGAAGTTACAAACATACACTCTCACACACTCACAAACGTTTTTCTTACATTTAATGAAATAAAAGACGACAGATTTCTTTGAATTGAAACAAAATTTGTTCAATACAGAGATATAAATAGACTTTGATTTTAATAGGTCGTAATAAAATCAATAATGGTATTGTTAGACGTGCTCTATTTGTCCACTGTAATAATCAAACTAGAGGCGTAGACCGACTCCTAGCATTTTCTCATTACATACACTAGAATAGCAGGTTAAAGTAATAACCTGTTATTCTAGTGTATGTAATGATAAAAGTAAGTGACAAAATGTGAAAATAAGTGTACATATCTTAACTACCGTTCCAAAAACTTGCGCGCTTGAACATAACCTTTAAAAACCTCAGTGCATTCAGAGAATAAAAAAAAAACTTATTATTTTGTTGGACAAAACAGTCAAAGTATTTACGCAACTCGCGTCCGTAACCGTTATGCAGTAGTCATTTCTTTTATTACGCGCGGGCTGTAAACAAAATTGCCTTGTAATACCAAAGCCCGTCCGGACACACTGCGTTTGCGTAAACAGAAAGAAAAAAAAAACTATAGGACGGCATTACTGTACGCTTGAGAAAATAAAACGGGAGGCTCCCTGTGTCCGTGTGTCTGATCTCATTGGGATTTAGTTCAAGATTGCGGGAGGAAGGTACTATGGGAAGCAAATGGAATGATAATCTCAAGGCATAAAATTTAAAATAAACGCCCCTTCATTTCTTTCTGACCTAAGAAATTGTGGGACGAAATTTCATCATAATCCCGATGTATTAATTTGTTTGAAGGCATATCGGTAGAAAGCGACATCGCTGTATCTCTAAAAATCAAAGTTTGAAGGTAAAAAGTCCGATTTCGGAACTTATTTATATTACATCAAGGTCTTCGTAACGTAACCAAAAAAAAAAACCTAAAGTTAGTTCTTTACTTGTTTTTAATGAGGAGTTTACAATATAAGGCAGCGTAAGTGCTGTATCTGTGAGAGAAAATGTATGAAGTGTTGGGTTCATCTTAGGCTATCTAGGTCGTAGTGTGACTAACCTCCAATAATGACAATCGCAATATGACTGCATCTCATTTCTTCTAGATCATTAAATGACTAGTTCGCTTACTACTATCTCTATTTGACTCCATCTCATAATGACTTGACAGCTTATTTGCCTGGTTTGTGTTTTATTACATAAAAAGATCATTCAAATAAAACTACACAATTTCGGATAGTTATACTTAAATGAATACCACGAACGTAATTTAAAACCTAAAAATATAATGTTGAAACTAAATATTTTCTTAACTCTCTACTTAAATTCTACTTATTTTACAGACAGTCAATATATTACAATACTACTAACATACATACATATTATGTATATAGTATTTATCAACCCGAAAAGGGTTTGATCTCAGGTTCTATAAATTTAGAAACGACGTATCTGCTCTAATTGAAATATATTTTAATAAAATGTTATTAATTCTGCAATAAGTGACTTCATTTAGCAAATTGTAAGACTAAAAATGTAATTATCTTTAATAAGATAAATATTATTTTATTAATTAGTCTGATGTTCGAATCCCGGCGGCTGAGTACAAAACGAACTTTTCTTAACGTTAATAAAAAAAAACAGAACCGTCATCGAAAAATCTGAAAGTGAAAAAATT